CTTTGGTATGAAATTAGAAAGTTACATATTCATCACTAAATTAGTCATTATTTCAAAAGCAAAAGAATCTATTTCAATAGTTATTCATCTTTTATTAAACAGTTTATATAGTAGGTCCATTTTCAACATAAAAAGCGTTGTGGGTGGTTGGCAGATGCTCTGGTGAGTTTTTTCTCCTTATTTCCTATCAAACTTCTATCGTCCTGATCTCTCCTCTTTCTTTTTTGTGTTTGTTACTCTCGTAACACCTCTAATCTTCGCTCTTAATATGACCTTGTTATGTAGCAAGTGCCGTAAAACTCTAAAACTAAACTAAAGAAGTGTAGCACCGTCTGTGTTTGTGCATTTTTTGTAAAAGTCTAATGTACTTTATGTCCTATTTGGCAAAGTGATCCCCACCAAAGTTTAAGAGGGGTCTCTCGTAGCCTAGAGGTTAATTTGTTCGCCTCTCATTCTGTAGGTCCCTGGTTCGAACCCGGATAGCGACGGAATTTTTTCTTCTCTAAATTGTCTCCTTTGACCTTCTTTCCTGCTCTGTCGTCTGCTTACGTCTCCATTTTCTTTGCTCCCTCCTCTGGGCTCCTAGCTCTTTCTGAAGCCTTTCTACTGCTACTCCTTGGCTCCTCTTTACTGCCATCTTTCAACCACACCCATGATCTTCTGGTAGGAAAGATCTACACCTAGACTTCTCGGACAAGGGTGAAAAATCTCGGAGGTCCCGAGTGCAAGTTGCGCTCGTTAAAGATCCCCTGGTGGTCTAAAATCGACAAGAGTAGGCTTCGGCCGCCACCCGGGCAAAATTCAAAATTTCTTACCAACTGAAAATGTTTAATGTGTCCCGTGCGCTCATATGACCTCATGCAGTTGCGAGCGCCGTAAAACACTTACCAAAAAAAAAAATAAAAAAAAAATGGTTAAGATATTGCCCCGTCTGTGCCCCGTCTTATTCTGTGGAATGAGTTTCCACTGTGGCGAAGGGTAGCGACAGCGGAGAAGGAGCACAGCGGGGGTTCAAGGATTCTGATGGGGGCCTACAGATGCGTATGGAGATTCGAGGAAGATGTGGGCTGTTGATACGGAATAGCAACTAGCGGTTTGTGTTCTTTTCTGCTTGGGGGTCTTTTGACAGCTGTTGAAACGAGAGAAAAAGGTCGGGCTATTTTCTGCTTGTGAATCCGCTCTGTCAAATCAACATTTAACTGAAGACAGATACAGTTGGGGGAGAGAGAGAGAGAGAGAGGGAGAGAGAGAGAG